AGTCACTGAGGCTGGCCTCAACTTGTGATCCTCCTGCATTACTGGGATTATAGGCGTGCGCTACCACATCCAGCACAATTTAACTTTTAAAAGTCTGAGGGGCTGGCACTGTAGCTCAGTGGTAGAGCACTTGCCTAGCACATATGAGGCCCTGGTACCACATAAAAATAAATAAATAAAATAAAGATATTATGTCCACCTATAGCCCCAGCCCCAATTTTTTTTTTTWAAAAAAAGGTATATCTGGTAAAAATGAATCCTCATATTATGTATAATTACAATGTACTAATGGAAAATATGGAAAAAGTAAAAAATTTTTTAAAAAGAGGTATATTTATGTCAGTTTAAAAAAAAAAATGGCTAGGTGTGGTGAGGCATCCCTGTAAACCCAGCAACTTGGGAGGCTGAGGCAAGAGAACTGCAAGTTTGAGGCCAACCTGGACAACTTAGCTAGAACCTGTCTCAAAATAAAATTTAAAAAAAAAAAATGTTTTTAAAGGGTTGAGAATTGGGCTAGGGATATGGCTCCTTTAGTAGAGTGCTTGCCTCGCATGCACAAGGTCCTGGGTTCAATCCCCAGCACCACAAAAACAAACAAACAAATAAATAAATAGATAGCTGAGGATATAGCTCAGTGGTAGCACTCCTGGGTTCAATTCCCACTACTGCAATAATAAATAAATAAAAGTGAAAATATATTTATATCAGTTAAAAAAAAAAAAAAAAAGGAGGGCTGGGGATGTGGCTCAAGCGGTAGCGGGCTCGCCTGGCATGCATGCGGCCCGGGTTCGATCCTCAACACCACATACAAACAAAGATGTTGTGTCTGCCGAGAACTAAAATAAATAAATAAATAAATATTAAAAAAAAAAAAAAGGAGAGAACAATTTAAAAGCAGCATAAAAAGTAACAGGTAGCAAAACTGTGATGGTGGCACTAGAATTTTTGAAAACAGGTAGATTTTGCAGTCCTAACAATATTGGTACCCTGAAAGGAAAGGCTGCAGATCACATTCCAGGCCTTCCTGCAAGGTTCTTCTTCTACCTCTACCATGAAGCCTCTTCCAACACAGTGGCCTGATTAAAAGTCACTCCCTCCACTGTGCTCCCAGATCCAAGTTCTACACCTGTGAATTTAAGCATTTATTAATAGCCATCTCTTTATATTTCCCTCTCCTCTAGAATGTGAGCACCTTGAGACAGGAGTTATATCTTGCTATTTTATCCACAAGACATCTTTTATGATGCTCTTTGTCTGACACAAAATAGGTGCTTGATGAATATTTGCTGAAAAAATGACCTAACACTTCCCCCCCAACATTTTTTTGTTGTTGTTGTTGTTGTTGTTAAATGAGAAAACAAAAGACAATGGAAGAAGAACGTTGTCAGAGATCCTGATGTCATAACTCCAATCCAGCACCTCTTATCCCCTACACTGGGTAGCAGAATACCTTTCTGACCTTAGCTTCAAGTACTATATTAAATGAGAATTCAGTATCTTTTTTTTTTTTTTTTTGATACTGGGGTTTGAAAACAGAGGCACTTTCCCACAAAAATTACACCCCAGTCCTTTTTTTATTCTTTATTTTGAGACAGCGTATAGCTAAATTGCTCAGGCTGGTCTTAAATTTGGGATTCTTCTGCCTCAGCCTTCCAAATCTCTGAGATTAGAGGTGTTCATCACCATGCCTGGCTTCATTAACCCACTTTAAAGAGATCACGTCACATGCAGTGTTTGGAAAAGCAAATAAGTCTTCAAGAAATTTAGCATTTTCAAGAAGAAACCAGTCATACCAGCACGAGGCAATTATAAAGACACTTTTGACAGCATAGAACGGAACTAGGTAAATATCTGAGGACATTCCTTCCATTTCCTTCTAATGGCAGATGTAATGCTAAAAAATACTAGGCTTGAAAAATAGAGCTCACTCTTGTCATAAATGACATACGCATATCAGAGCACTTCATCATAAGGAAATTATATACATCTAAGGGAGTAGTATTAAAATAGGAAAAACAGTAAGGAAGAACCTATTTCAAATTCAGAGGTTGCCCCTACCAAAATATGGACATTTCTCTATTACATTTAGTATGTTTTAGGGGACTTAGGCAAGTACCTAATAAGCAAGTAGACTGGAAGAATCTTTAAGCTATATAGGAAATAGTATTCTAACTAGAATAAATCTGTCAACAAAAGGTACAGGCGCTGGATGCAGTGGCCCATGCCTGTAATCTCAGCAGCTTGGGAGGCTGAGAAAGGAGGATCGAAAGTTCAAAGCCAGCCTCAGCAAAAGCAAATCACTAAGTAACTAAGTGAGACTCTGTCTCTAAATAAAATACAAAATAGGGCTGGGTATGTGGTTCCATGGTTAAGTGCCCCTGAGTTCAATCCCCAGTACCAAAAAAAAAAAAAAAGGTACAGGCCAGCTACACTAAATAAGTCTCTGGGGTTCTTATTAAAAATAGAAATTAGGGCTGGGGATGTGGCTCAAGCGGTAGCGCGCTCGCCTGGCATGCGTGCGGCCCGGGTTCGATCCTCAGCACCACATACCAACAAAGATGTTGTGTCCGCCGAGAACTAAAAAATAAATATTAAAAATTCTCTCTCTCTCTCTCTCCCCTCTCTCACTCTCTCTTTAAAAAAAAAAATAGAAATTAAAATCCAGCATGGTTTCTTTATTCACCACACCTATTTACTATTCTATCTCCATTATTAATTCTGTAATGCAGGGTTCCCATTCGGGGATGATCAAGTCCCTGTTCCCAAAGCCTTTTGCTGATACTACAAAGGATCCATTGGAAGGCTGAAAAGGTAGACCCAGATGTTGCTCCCAACATGTAATCAGTAGGAGATGAGGCCTGGGCCTCTGAGCTTAATAACAGGGTTAGGCCTATAGTCAGAGTTGGTATAGCCCAGTGGTTATAAGCTCAGACTTTGARAGAGAGTCAGTTTCTCCATCTATAAGAGGGAGACAATAGCCAGATACAGTAAAACATGCTTGCAATCCCAGCAAATTGGGAGGCTAAGGCAGGAGGATAACAAGTTTGAGGGCAGCTCAGCAATTTGGTAAGATACTATCTCAAAATTAAAAAATAAAAATAAAAAAGGTTGGGATGTGGCTTAGTGGTAAAGTACCCCTGGGTTCAATCCTCAATACTAGGGGTAGTGGCAGCGGGAAGAGTATATGGACTCTCAGGGCTAGGAAAGTAGCTCAGTGGTCACACACTTACCTACCAAGACCATGGGTTTGATCCCCAGCTTCACAGAAAAAAAAGAAAGAAAGAAAGAAAAAGAAAAAACAAGATATGGATTCTAGAGCAAGACTGCCTACATTCAAGTCCTGGCTCTTCCAGTTAAAAGAACTTCTTTGTGTCTCAGTTTCTTTATGTGCAAACCATCTATCAGTTTTATAGTGTTAATGTGAAAATTAAATTCAAGGGCTGGGGATGTGGCCCAAGCGGTAGCGCGCTCGCCTGGCATGCGTGCGGCCCGGGTTCGATCCTCAGCACCACATACAAACAAAGATGTTGTGTCCGCAGAAAACTAAAAAATAAATATTAAAAAATTCTCTCAAAAAAAAAGAGAAGGCAGTGCCATTTGAGTACTGCAACATTGTAACGATCTTACAGTTTGGCTGCTAAGTCCTCTATTCCTTGAAAATTAAATTCAATAGTAACATATAAAGTCACTAGAAGAATAGCTAGCCCCTAATCACTGTACTTAATAAATGTTATCTTTTTTTTTTTTTATTACTGAGGATTGAACCCAGTAGCCACCATTGAGCTTTTTTTATTTTTGTTTTTTTATCTTGAGAGATGGTGTCACTAAATTGCCCAGGCTGGCCTTGAACCTACAATCTTCCTGCATAATCCTCCAAAGTGAAGGATTACAGGTGTGTGCCACTACACCTGACTGTATTGTTACTTTTTATAATGATTCCAATTATAGCTGTTATTTTAGAGAACTTAATACTAATTTGATTATATTTAACTTGGAATTAAAATGAAATGTGTTTGCTTTCTCTAAACACAAATTAGTTGATTATAAAGGGAAAGAAGGGTGGTAGGTACAATGTAAAAGTGTGCAAGGCAGCAACTGGAAACAGACCAGGAGAAAACACATGTTGTGGATAATCCAAGCACAGATTATGAAAATATAAGGGAAGTAGGTAAAGCTGGGTGCTACGGCACACATTTATAGTCCCAACTTCTTAGAAAGCTAAAGTGGGACAATCCCTTGAACCCACAAGCTGGAGGCCATCCTGAATAAACAAAGCAAGACCTTGTCTCAAAACAAAACAAAAAGGGCTGGGGATGTGGCTCAAGTGGTAGCGCGCCTGCCTGGCATGCGTGCGGCCCGGGTTCGATCCTCAGCACCACATACCAACAAAGATGTTGTGTCCGCCGAGAACTAAAAAATAAATATTAAAAATTCTCTCTCTCTCTCTCCTCTCTCACTCTCTCTTTAAAAAAAAAAAAACAAAACAAAAAAACACAGAAAACAAATAAATAAATACATGAAGTAAATAAGATGGATAAAGGGATAGATAAATATATTTGTAAAAAAGCAAACACAGTAAAAGATTAATGGTGGAATCTGGATTGTGGCTATATGAGTGCTTATTGCAAAATCCAATTTTGCTTTGTGTTTAAAATTTTTCATATTAAGCTCGTCAGGGTGGGAGAAAACAGAGGCATCAGCCCAAGTTTTGAGTCAGAGCCACGCTGCCTATCCTCAAAGCTCAAACTCTATAGAAACTTGGAAAAACCTAATGGTTTTGGAACTCTTGCTCATCATCAATACTTTCCTACATCAGAGGAGCAGTGCTCAGGTGCTAGCCTATACCACCACAGCACAAATAGATATAAGCAGAGAAGTGCCTCCTGAGAAGTGTCAACCTCACAGGATTGACATTATCACCCCTACTCAGGAAAACCTCAGAAATAAGGCTCAAGGATAAGGAATGGCAGGTGGAGGGTAGACTGATGGGATACACTCACTCATGGACTCTGTTGTCACCATAGAGATCACTCAGGCCAAAGCTGATGTAGTGCCAATGCTCAGGAATGTTGGCAGAAGGGCTCCCCATGTTCCTGTACATGCTAACATAGTCCAAGGGGTCTGGGCCACCCAACCTGAAAAAGACAAAAGACAGGGGTGTCATTATGATCCTGGAAACCAGACAATGTCAAACTGAGGGGCTCTGCTTTGCAACTCAAAGGCCCCATCCTAGAGGAATCTGGGACAAAAGATAACTAAGGGGAGGCTACACCTCTCTGAGGATGAGACCAAGGGATAAGCAGCTGAGGCTGCCCAATTCCCCATGTACAAGAAGCTCCATTCTCTTACCTCCAACAGGCAGGGCCTCTTTTAGAAATAAAACAGACTGGGTGGTTGCCCATTTTGTTTTCTCCTGTTTCAAATTACTGATCCCAAATGGGATTGGCAGGGATTAACTCTTCTTCTATGGTGCCTGTAAACATGCCAAGCTTCAAGGCAAGAGGTACATCAGTCAATCAATTGGCCTCTGTTGAATGACCATCCGGAGCATCCCCAATGGGCATTGTTCCTGGAAGCAGAGGCTCTGCTCCAGTCCTGCCTCTTAGACAGCTAATTCCTGAAAGACTATATTGTGCCCTATGTTAATTACAGTTTGTTCTAAACAAACCAAAAGCCTCTAGTCCAAGCACACCCTGCCCTGCACCCCATAGACCAAAGCTGGTCTTTTATCATTGTAAGTGACAAAGGCCAAACTTAGGCTAGCGAAGCTCTGCACAGAGCACTGCAGAAGAAGCAGGCTGAGCCCTGTGAGTGCCTGCATCCCGATAATCCCAGGAGACTGCTGCCTCAAAGAGAGAGCTGGGACATTAAATGACTTGGGGCCCTGAGGACCACATTAAATTTCTCTCACAATTTCAACAGAGAAGTAATTGAGGAAGAGATTCAGTCATTATTTCACTCTGAGAATTTAATTCAATAAAGGTTCCCTTTAGTAGCATAATTAGTGCTTTAAAAAAAAAAATCTTCAGAATGGACAGGGACACTTGGTAGACTTGAAAAACTGACTAAATGGAAACCATCAGCAGAAGGAAGTCTGCATTTAGCCACAAATGCTGCTTTTAAGCTGCCTCAAATACCTGACCATGGGGGGGAGGGGGAGCTGGGGTTGTGGCTCAGTGGTAGAGCGCTCCCCTAGCATGGGCGAGGCCCTGGGTTCAATCCTCAGCACCACATAAAAATAAACAAATTAATTAAAGATATTGTATCCAACTACAACTAAAAAATAGATATTTAAAAAAAATACCTGACCATCCCATGGGCTGCAAAAACTTGCTGGCTCCTGGGACTCTGATAGAGTGTACTCTGCAGGTGTATTAGTTGAAGGGAAACTAATGACCAAACAGAAGACACAGGCAGGTAATTCCACTATGGGTGCCAGTACTTTGCAATTTTACACTATTTAAAACCAGTAGGTTGGGCTGAGGATGTAGTTCAGTAGTACAGCCCTGAGTTCAACACCCAGTAGCATGCACACACGCGCACACACACACAGTAGGTACTGTTTTATCCTCTTTGTCAGGATATAATTTGCCTTTGTAGAAATCCTCATTTTTTCTGCTAAGAAAGATGTTATTTATAGAACTTATAAGAAAGTTATTGCGAATAGCTTAGAATCTCAACTGAATGAGTTAGGAAAAGGGAAAAATCTTCCCTTTTCCTAACTCATTCAGTTAGGATTTCATGTGACTAATTCCATGACTGGGTTTAGAAAAGTTTGCAGGGGGAAGGAAGAAAGAAAAGGGTAGATATCTCTGGAAGAACCCCATTACAGCTGCAGAACCCCAGAACAGATGGAGGTGACTACAAGTCCCACATCTGCTCTAGTTTCTTGCTGCAAATTCCCATTGGTGCCCCTCCTACAGCCTAGGACCATCCAGCAACAAGCAGTGAAACTGTGTTCACTATTCCCTGATCCAACTGCCACACCACTGCAGTACTCCTGCCCACCAAGTTTCCCAGGAGGATGTCACATTAAGAAAAAGTTTACTAAGAGTCAAAGAATGACCAAGTACCCAACAAAGTTAGCCCCTATCGCCAAGCTATGAGTGTTCTATTCTAATACTCAGACTCAGGTGAGTATGTGGAAAACAATCAATTTTGCACTTGGAAACAGATATTATCCAGGGGCCCAGAGTATTCTTCACCTTAATTCCTCAAACATCTGACTTTTCTCCACAAGGCAGTTGCAAGATTGGCATGGAGCCAGGGCATAGGCTCTGCCTTTCTGCTTTGATACTTGCTAATCAAAGTCTCAGTTTTTAACCAAAATGTCCCTGTTGGTCAGGGACCACTTCCAAAGAGCCACCCCTTTACTGTAAAAATCATTCCAAGGCACCCTGGGCCATAGCCAGACCCAGGCAGCCTGGGTCAGTCATCCACCTACAAGAGCTAAAGAGGATGATGTGAAATATAAGGGATATGAATTAATTTCAGTATCTTAATTTTGTAAATTCCACCCCTCCCCCCTGAATCTTAGAAAGAACCACACACTGAACTATTCTCAGATTTTTCTGCATCTAGGTGGAATTTCTAATTTCACAAAGTGCTACACAATCCCCCTTATTTGAAATTGCATGCTGACCCATCTCTAAAGATGGCCTGGCTAAAAAGCTTGCTGCAGGAATTAAAAATGCTGCTGTATTAGTAATACTAACTGTTCTTAGTTCTTTGCATGGTGCTTCAATATCTTTTACACACAACTCTAACCCTGATGACCACTTAGGGACATAAAAACAGTTGCCCTGTGTAGGGATTTCCCACTCTCAAATGAGACCCGAACGAAAAACATGCAGAGCCAGCCCTGTCTCATGACACAGACAAGTTCATCACAACACAGTTAGATACAGAGGTGCAATTAGAACAGGTGATTAAGTGAGCAAGAGCTACTTTCCATTCAGAAGCACTCTTCAAAAACTCCTCTCACCTAAAGAACAGTTTGCCAGAGAGAACTGGTCTTCCCGCCACACTTCCTCTGGGCTACCAGGACAGAAAAGGGTGCTCCCTATGGCTCCTCCTTAGCAGGTGGCTGATTTCCAGGCCCTTCACATTGTCAGCCTTCTCCACATTCTCTCTGATGGCCTGAGCCCTGTACAGCCTAATGACTGTCATCTCCAGAGGCAATAAGAGGTGGTCATGCAGAAGACTCAGTCCTAAAAGGAGAGGTAGCCAACAAAGACATTCACTTCTCCCATCAGGTCTACTCTCTGCCTTCAGCCAAGAAGCTGCCTGAAAGACCTTTAGTACCCCCTGAAAGAGGACTTTTAAAACAGTGTCTGCATGAATGTGGTCTTGGACAGATTCAACCAGTCCTCAGTCAACTTTTCGTCCACAAAGACCAGAGGACAGGCTGTTTTTCACAGTCTTCATAACACCTGTTTTGTCTGAAGGCTGAAGTAAAAACAGATTGCAAACAATGGTAAACTACCCCAAGAGCAGCCCATCAGCAAAATGGCCCTTAACAGAGTGACTTGAAGGTTACCCGGGGCTTCCCAGTGAAACTGCTGCCTCAGTTCTAAAGCTGTGGAGAARAAGCTCCGTTTAATGTCCCGAGGCACTTCTTTCTTCCCTGCCCACAAGCCAGGTCTCTCCATTATTTACTTCCCACTGGAAATGGGAAGCTGAGGTTCCTTCAATCCTGAGTTAAACCCTGGCTCTCTGCTCCTGATATTAACTAACATCTAAAAGCAAAGGAGCTACAAAGCCAAAAGGAAGTTCTGCAGAGAGAAAGAGAACTGTGCAGAGTAAGCAAAAAGTTTATCAGGAAGAGTTGCTCCATCAAACTCAAAAGCAACAGCTTTGCATTGATAGACTCCGGAGTTCATCCCGAAGGTATCAAAAGGAGACCTCCTCTTCATCTCCTTACAAGAACAGCGCTCTCATCTTGCTCGGCTTGTAACCCAAAGACAGTCCCAGAACCCCCAGACTCGCTCCTAGCCCATGCAGTGTGAGCTTCTCCAGCCTCCCTCCTCCAGAGCCCTCTAATATGCTCCCCAGGCCCCGCCTCGCCTCCCCCATCCCACTTCAGCCGCCCCCCTTGGCTTCCCCTCGCCCACTAATGACCCCCTAAAGGTGCCCCCTCCTTTCACCACGTTTACAATTCCCTCTCATACCGTTCCCCCTCTGCTCCAACACACACCCTCCGGTCTCACTCTGTTCTCTTAATCTCGGTTAACCCTTCTCTACCCACAGGTTCCGTTAACCCCTTTGTCCCCATTCCTAACTTCGGCCTTAACTCATTCTCTCGCAGCAGGAAGCCCTCCTTCCAAGTGCCTTAACCATTCACCTCCCCTCCACCTCCTCCCACTCCCGCAAATTACTTCGCTCCCGGCGCTCTAAGCCTTCCCAGCCCGCCACTGTCCTCCCCGCGGCCCTGGGCATACCAGTACTTGACGATAGCGGTAACCTGGAGGGGGTTCGGCTGGTCAGGGTAAAGGCGGCGGCACTCTCCGTAGATGGCGTGCAGTCCCGGGGGGAAGAGCGAGGCGAAGGCCGGAGGGGCAGTAGGGCCAGGGGCCGGGGGCGCGGTGGGGCCGGGGGCGCCGCTAGGCCGCAGCTCCGCCATCTGGGTGCGTAGGGCACTGTGGAAACCTGGGAGGGCGGAGGAGGGCGAGCGTACTGACCGGCCAGAGGGCTGACTCGGTGGGYGCGACTCCCGGTGGCGCCGGGGGCTGCAGCGAGGTCTAGCTCTGCGCCTGCGCACCGTGCACTGTCCGCCCAAGCCGTCGCCGCCTCGGAGTCTGCCAGAGGGTGCCTCGGGGCCGCAGGGAGCTCGAGGGGGCGGGGCGCGGCGCGCCCTGTCCTGGCACCTATTGGCTAATGTTTTTGCCAATCACAGGTGGGGAAGGCGTGAATTGACAACAAGCTCCGCCTCCCTATCCCTGTATCCCAAGGCTCTTGGTCTCCCCCTAGTGTTAGGAGGAACCCTGGTTTAAATAGGGATGAAGCATCTTTTACAAGTGCTAGGGTCCCACGAAAGCACTGGGAAATGCTTCGACAAAGTGCTTGTCACTGTTTTGCTGACATGCCTGCTGACAATTTAAACACAAATCTAAAATGGATTGGTGCATTCGTTCATTTGGCATTAGTGTTAACAGATTTTTTTTCCCAATGCTGGGGATCATACCTAGGGCCTCCCTGGCCTTGGCTTGTTATAGATTGTAAAGCTTAATATTCACTAGTGCTACTGATAAAAGAACCCCTGCAACTTGAAAGGAAGAATAATCCAGAGAAAAATGAAGTAGGCTCTTTTGAAAACATTGGACACATAACTTCTTTTCACCTCCATTTTCTCACCCATCAGGGTCAATCCAACTCATAAAAATTAAAGAGATATTGGTGCAGTTCCCAAACCCTTAGACGATGTTTTAGTCATCCTACCAGTAGTTTCAAATGCAAGCCCTAGCTGGGCGTGCTGGTGGTGCACCCTGAAATTCCTGCGACTCCAGAAGACTGAGGCATGGAGGATCACAAGTTCAAAGCCAGCCTCAACAATTTGCCTTAAGGTCTACTTAAAAGACCCTGTTTCAAAATTTAAAAATAAGTGGCTAGGGCTGTGGCTCAGCAGTAGCACGCTTGCCTGGCATGTGTGAGTCAATTCTCAGCTCCACATATAAACAAAGATCTCTCAACAACTAAAAATTTCTAAAAAGTTTTTAAAATACATAAATGAAAAATGGCTGGGGAATGTGGCTCAGTGATTAAGCGCCCTCTACTTTCAATCCCTGGTACCAAAAAAAAAAAAAAAAAAAAAAGACAAAACACATAAAAATCGAACCCCATGACATATGCCTGTAAACCCAGCCGCTGGGGAGGAGAAGGCAGAAAGATCACAAGTTCAAAGCCAACCTCAACAACTTAGAGAGGCCCTGTCTCAAAAAATWAAAAAAAGGCTGGGGATGTGCTTCAGTGGTTTAGTGCCCCTTAGTTCAATCCCTGGTACCAAAGCAAAACAACAACTCAGACAATGTTTGCCTGTTACAAAGTGTACCCCTATTCAGGAAGAAGTGTGAAAAGAAGTGACAATGTATAATGTTCTTTTTTCTTTTTCTTTTTTCTTATGCCCTATATTTTTCTTTGTTTTAGGAATATTTTTTTTCCTCCGTGTATGTTTGTTTGCTAGAATTTCCTTTGAGTGTAAGATACTAGTATTGTAGGGACAAACGAGGCAAGGCACCGAAGATAGCAGGAAACAGTTTTATTTGGCTGCAGCCAGGTTCAGAGGGTACAGCCTTTGCTATAATCAATCAATCCCCTGAACCCCGAGTTCAGGGAGTTTCAGAGTTTTATACCCAGTGTGTAAGGGGAGGGGCTCAGAAGTAGTTCACATAAAAGCAGCTTTTGCTTTCACTGTTCTGGGCAAGTTAACTCTTCAAGGACAATACCTGAGAAGGGGAGAGCTTTATCTCCCCTTTCTTTCCTCCCTCTGCCAGCTGTTACCATGGGCCCATTTGTAACTTATCTTAAAAATGTAGACATCTCTGTGAAGCCCAGCTCAAGGCCAGAGGTCTTGTTTGCATATTTCTTTAAAGTACTATACTGGATACATTTGTGAAAACTAGTAAGGGGGTGACCAGCACCTGGAGTGCTGGTATCTTCTCCGCCAGTGGCCAAGTAAACAGGGTGACACGAAAATAGGAAGTTTATCTACAATGGACTCTTTTGCTGACAGTCCTAAAATTAGCCATGGTGAAGAGGGCTTTTCTGTGGAGAAAGGGGGTGCCACTTCACTAGGAGATGTTATATACTTATAGACCCAAATAAAAATATAGAAACCTAAAATTGTCCAAAAGAAGGGATGAGGAGCAGGGAGTGGGAGCCCGTTATCCCACCGACTCCGGAGTCTGAGGCTGGAGAATCACAAATTCGAGGCCAGGCTCAGCAACTTAGTGAGGCACTAAGCAACTTAGGGAAAGCCTGTCTCAAAAAGCTGGGGACGGCCTGGGGATATAGCTCAGTTGATAGAGAGCTTGCCTTGCATGCACAGGCCCTGGGTTCAGTCTCCAGCGCACACACACACACACACACACACACACACACACATATAATAATAATAATAATAATAATAATAATAATAATAATAATAAAGCGGAGGGCTGGGGCGAACTGAGGCTGTAGCCCAGTGGTAAAACTCCCCTGAATTCAATCCCCTTACAATAAAATGATTATTTAAAAAGGGGTGGGTGAGGAGTGCTAAGACTGATTTGTAGAATCCAAACCCAACTACACACATGTAGTCGAGAAGACTACATACTTAAGCATGCATTGTGAACTCCTTCAAAGGGACTACAGATCCAGGAGTGCAACACAACCATTACTTCATTTCTCTAACCTATTGGTACTACGAAGCCCAGGATACTGTGCTTCGGAAATGCGACATTCAGTCTCTTAAACTAGGCGGGGCCCCAGCGCAAGCTGGAGCGCTAACCCTGGTACGAGGCATGCTGGGGATTGTAGTGCTTTGAAGRCGAGGTCGGGCCGCTCCCTGAACGCCTTGTACCGGCGGCTAGACTGCGCATGCGTGTCTCTGGCGTTAGCGGCTGACCCGGCTGGCAGTTCCTTCCTCGGAAGGAGAGATTCCTCTACCATGGAGTCCTACGATGTGATCGCCAACCAGCCTGTTGTGATCGACAACGTGAGTTGTCTTTGCTATTTCTAAAGGGACTCGTGGTCTGCTTCCCGAAAGGATCGCTTCCCGGATTTCAGTCTGGGCCGCCGGCTCTTTGTCACTGGCCCGGCCTGTCAGGCGGGTTCAGCTGCCGCCGCCTCCGCCCTCTCTGACTCTGCAGGCTGGGGGGCCGGCCAGAAACCGTGGGATGGAGAACTTTGGAGTGAATAAAGGGAAAAGCTGTAGTCTGAGCGGGGTCCTTGGGCCCTTGACTCGAGGGGCCTTAACAGCTCTGTGAGCTCCTGGAGCCCGCCCAGTAACAGATTTCGATCACTCTATTGGCTGCTCTGGTTATCTATCTTGGCCGATGATTCCCGCCTCTGGGCCTTGCCGGATGAGGGCAGCGCGCTGTAGTTATTGGCTCGCGCGCTTGTCCTTCTTGCAGCCGCCATAGTGTTTCCACCTCTCTAAGGGGCGGAGCGCCTCACTAGGGCTGTGGGGATTGGCTTCGGGGATTCGGGTGGTGGGGCTAGGGCCCGCCTGGGGGTGTAGAAGGTCTTAAGTTTCCTTGGGTGCCGGAGGGTGGGTTGGTGTGGTGGGCTGTATCTGGGTGGAGCCCGAGAATCTGGTGCCCCAAACGACCGTAGGATTTCAGTTATTTCTGTAATTATAAATGGTAGTTAATAAAGGTCGAGAAGAAAAGAGAATGACAAAGCAAGCGAGGAGATGCTTTCCTCTTCAGAATGCCTAGTTACTAGGATGGAGAAATTATCAAACATAATACTTAGTGTTTGCCAGGCGCTTTGCCGCTTCCAGGAGGCTTTCACCTGCATTCGAGTTGGATCCTCACAAAAACTGGGTAGATAATTAAGAAGGTTTCATCCTCATTTCACAGATGACAAAACTGAAGCTAGAAGTGAGCCCAAGGTCACAGTAGAGATGTCCTAAATCCAGTGCTTTATTCGTCATTCTTATTGCTAGCACCACCCGTGCAGCGCATCAATAACGATAAATGTAAAGAACCTAAATACTGGTTTTATTTAAAGGGTAGAGGGACAGTTATCTTCCATTTCTGTATTTCATTCAAAAATTTGATACTACCTAGAGTGGTGTTACCTTTCCACTCCTCTTCTAGGTCCTTACCTTGATGCAAACTACCAGTTCCTTGCATCCTGGGCTGATTCTTATCAGATTCATATGTTGGTCCAGCCCTTGGGCTCTTGGGCATATAACATATATCTTTTGCATAATCTTGTTTAAGCTTAGCTCTGGTAGGTAGATGGCAATTACTTTCCCCAGTTTCGGTCTACACAGGGATGTAAGTCTTTGAGAGATTATCCGAACCACCTGGTGTAGGAGTTGAGGAGCCAAGACTCAGACTGAGATCTGGTTCCAAGTTGCTCACTTTTTCCAAGGAAAGATGCTTTATTTGTTGTTAGCTTTTCTTCAAGGGTATGACTTTTGCCTTTAAAAAGACAAGGTTGAACTTCATGAAACATCTCATTTTTTACAGGATTTTTTGTTGTTATTATTGTTGTCTTCCTCACTAGACTGTTAAGACTTTATGGGAAGAGGTGATATTGCTTTATTTTTTATTAGTCTCCCATTACCCACCCACTTTATACATACAATACCTACAGCCTGGCACCACAACATCCTCAATGAAGACTTTTCATTGGTTTGATGGGGGACTAGATGAATGACTGAATGTCTCTATCATAGTAACAAAAATGTCCCTAAGTAAAGAAAGAATGAGGGGTTTCCCCTGGTTAGTTATTCAACTTGAATTTATTCAACTGTAGAGGATTGAATAGGACTCCTTGTTCTTGGTATTTATTTTCAGAGGAAACTACTGTTTCTGCCTTTAGCTAGTCTTTGCGTCCTTTATCTAACCTTTTCATAGTTATAGAAAGAAAAATATACAGAATTATCAATTTCCTGTTGTCATTAGTAATATCAAAAGGAGCAGTCTGCCCATCCCATTTAGTTCCTTTGCTTCTTGAATTGTTCGTCAGGAGTTCCATCTCCAGCCATTTTCCTTAATGTTACTGAAGCTAATGCCTCTTAGATTCATCTTTCACTTTCTTGATAGTACAATTGACCCTCCAGATCCAAGGTTCCAAATTCTT